AAGCAAGCTGTGCCCTCAGCTCATGCGCGATGCAGGGAGAACCAGCAACTCGCCACACATGGGAATAGGGATGTCAACGAGTAGGCGACTGGTTCTGGAACCCACAAGAGGAGAGGCTATTTTTGATTTAGTCCTAAGTGGAGTGCAGGATCTGGTCCAAGCGGTAAAAATGTAATAAAATTTAACATCCCTGTGGTGGGAAAAACACCTCAGCAGCCCAACACTGTGGTATTTAATTTCAGAAAGGGGAACTACACAAAACTGAGGAAGTTAGTTAACCCGAAATTAAAAGGTACAGCGACAAAAGTAAAATCTCTGCAAGCTGCATGGAAACTTTTCAAAGACACCTGTAATACAGGGCCAACTTAAATGCATACCCCAAACTTAAAAAACAAAACAAAACAAACACACAGTAAGAGAGCCAAAAAAGGACCACTGTGGCTTACCAACAAAGTAAAAGAAGCAGTGATAGACAAAAAGACATCTTTTAAAAAGTGGAAGTCAAATCCTAGTGAGGCTAATAGAAAGGAGCATCAGCTTGGTCAAATTAAGTATAAAAACATAATAAGAAAAGCCAAAAAGGAGTTTGAAGAACAGCTAGCCAAAAACTCAAAAGTAATACCAAAATATTTTTAAGTACGTAAGCAGTAGGAAGCAGGCTACAGAATCAGGGAACGAACAAGATGCTAAAGGAGCACTCAGAGATGATAAAGCCATATCGGAGAAGCTAAATGAACTATTTATTCAGTCTTCATGGCTGAGGATATTGGGGAGATTCCCAAACCTGAGCCATTCTTTTTAGGTAACAAATCTGAGGAACTGTCCCAGATTGAGGTGTCATTAGATAAGGTTTTGGAACAAATAGATAAACTTAACAGTAACAAGTCACTGGGACCAGATGGAATTCACCCAAGAGTTCTGAAGGAACTCAAATGGGATACTGTGGAACTATTAACTGTGCTTTGTAACCTGTCCTTTAAATCAGCTTCCATACCTAATGACTGGAAGATAGCGAACGTGAGGCCAATATTTTAAAAAGACTCTAGAGGTGATCCGGGCAATTACAGACTGGTAAGTCTAACCTCGGTACCAGGCAAATTAGTTGAAACTATAGTAAAGAATAAAATTGTCACATAGATGAATATAATTTGTTGGGGAAAGTCAACGTGGTTTCTGTAAAGGGAAATCATGCCTTACTAATCTACTAGAGTTCTTTGAGGGGTCAACAAACATGTGGACAAGGGGGAGCCAGTGGATATAGTGTACTTAGATTTCCAGAAAGCCTTTGACAAGATCCCTCACCAAAGGCTCTTAAGTAAAGTAAGTTGTCATGGGATAAGAGGGAAGGGCCTTTCATGGACTGTTAAATGGTTAGAAGACAAGAAACAAAGGTCAGTTTTCAGAGTAGAGAGAGGTAATTAGTGGGGTCCCCAAAGGGTCGATCCTGGGACCAATCCTATTCAACATATTTATAAAGGATCTAGAGAAAGGGGTCAACAGGGAGGTGGCAAATTTTGCAGGTGATACCAAGCTGCTCAAGATAGTTAAGACCAAAGCAGATGGTGAAGAGCTTCAAAAAGATCTCACCAAACTAAGTGCTTGGGCAACAAAATGGCAAATTAAATGTAATGTTGATAAATGTAAAGTAATGCACATTAGAAAAAATAATCCCAACTATACATACAATATGCTGCAGACTAATTTCGCTACAACTACGCAAGACAGAGATCTTGGAATCATAGTGGATAGTTCTCTGAAAACATCCACTCAGTGTGCAGCAGCAGTCAAAAAAGCATATTGACTGTTAGGAATCATTATAAAAGGGATAGAGAATAAGACAGAAAATCACTTATTGCCCCTATCTATAACCATGGTACGCCCACATCTTGAATACTTGGTACAGATGTGGTCGCCTCATCTCAAAAAAGATATCTTGGCATTGCAAAAGGTTTGGAAAAGGGCAATCAAAATGATTAGGGGTTTGGAACGGGTCCCATATGAAGAGAGTTAAAAAAAGACTTGGACTTTTCGGCTTAGAAAAGAGGAGACTAAGGGGGGAGATGCTAGAGGTCTATAAAATCATGACTGGTGTGGAAGAAGTGAACAAGGAAAAGTTAAAAGTTTACTTATTCCCACAATATAAGAACTAGGGGTCACCAAATGAAATTAATAAGCAGCAGGTTTAAAACAAACAAAAGGAAGTTTTTCTTCACTCAGGGCACAGTCAACTTGTGGAACTCCTTGCCAGAGGATGTGGTGAAGGCTAGGACTTTAACAGGGTTCAAAACTGAGCTAGACAGATTCATGGAGGTTAGGTCCATCAATGTCTATTAGTCAGGATGGGTAGGAAAAGCGTCCCTAGCCTCTGTCTGAAAATGGGTGACAGGAGAGGGATCACATGAGAACTACCTGCGGTGTGCCCTCCCTTGGGAGCATCCAGTATTTTTTTGGCATGTGAGAAGGGTTAAGATGTGCACACGACCACAGACTTGGGTGTTCCAGGCAACTGTTCCTTTTATCGCATAAATGTCGGGAACTTGTCCCATGCCACGGCCAGCTTCTCCAAAGGGAGGCAGCATGGGTCTGACACCCTTGGGAGAAAGCACCCACGTCCCATGACCACCCGGAGCAGCACTCATGGAGGAGGGACCCAACCCTCAGCAAGTCGCGCCGATGTGAAGAAACCGTCTTGCTCAGATCCTGCCCAGTGCGTTAGCTGGGCTGGTAGGCCCTCGGCATCCTCACAACAACCATGGGAGGAGAGGCCATGACTGGCGTTTGTGCAGCCTGTTCTTCAACCTCGGGTGAGGGGGATCCCACCATGCCCCCTTGGGAGCCTGCACCAGAGTGAAACGCCCCCGTACGAAAGTTTTCCTAACGTTTAACCTAAACCTCCCTTGCTGAATATTAAGCCCATGGATGTGGAGAACGGATCAACCGCCGTCCTTTTCGAGCAGCCCTTCACAAGGCTATCAGGGCCGCCCAGAGATTTCCATTCTCTAGACTGGCCACAGTCCATGTTTTTTAACCCTCTCGCGCAGGTTTCCTAACCCTTTTTCCCATGCTTGTCACTCTCCTCTGGGCTCGCTCCAATCTGTGCACATCTTTCCTAACGTGTGGTGCCCGGCACCAGACGCCGTGCTCAGCTGGGGCTTCGCCGGTGCTGAACAGAGATCGGCAAGTTTAACACAAACCAAAGGAAGTATTTCCTCACACAGCGTGCAGTCAACCTGTGGAACTCCTCGCCAGAGGATGTGGTGAAGTCCAAGATTATAACAGGGTTAAAAAAAAGAGCTAGGACATGTCCATCAATGGCTATTAGCCAGCATGGGCAGGAATGGTGTCCCTAGCCTCTGTTTGTCAGAAGCTGGGAAGAGGCGAGGAGATGGACCACTTGATGATTACCTGTTCTGTTCACTCCTTCTGGGGCATCTAGTATCAGCCACCGTCGGCAGGATACTGGGCTAGCTAGACCTTTGGCCGTTCTTATGTACCAGTAAAACGCCCTCCCCTGCCCTTGGGTAGCTACAGAACAGCATGGTCAGCATATATAGCCTTGCACGCCAGAGTATGGGTACACTGTTCATGCCCCAAGTGTGCCATGTGACACAGCACTGAATGGGAAACCTGGCAAGTCGCTCAGTGGCTCTAGGGGCTGGCGGCTGCATCGCGCTGAGTAACTGGGAGTAACACGCTGCGGCTGCCCAAGTTCAATCCCAGCTATGTGCTAGAACGGCCGAACTCCCCGGAGGCAAAGGCTGATGACCGGCTGGGCAGCCTGGTATTTAGCACCTGCACGAAGCCCAGGCTGGTGCACAGAGGTGCACCGTAGCAGGCAGGAGATGCGGGCCTGGCAGCACAGATACGGAGCGCACTTCCCCGGGGTGGAAATCCATCCCAGGACCTGCATCCCCCTGGCTGCCCTGAGATTAGAGGCCCTGGGGGGAGGGAAAAGGCTTATGTGATGCATACCCAGCCTGTGCATGGAGCTGAGCCGCAGTGCCAGGTGGGGGACCCCAGCCTGCACCTCCCCAGAGCTGGGGATTTTATCAGTAATGCTCTGTGCTATCAGCACCTCCCTTGCAGAGCGGATTAACCTCCAGCAGCCCTGGAAAGCACAGCCTCAGGCCGCTACGAGGGGGCGGGGAAGGGGGTTGAGCACATGAGAGGCTGAGGGCCTACCAGTCAAGCTGGGCCTGGAATCCAGGAGTCCTGACCTCCCGCCAGGTGCTCTAACCACTAGGGAGCCCCCCCAGGGAGTTCCATTCTCAACC